GGTGGGAGCGCCCCTGCCCTGCAGCTGGTGGCCCACAGTGAGCGGTGAAGCCAGTGACCTTACACCTGGGGCGTCGACAACCCAGGCAGGAGGTCAGCAGCAGGGCAGCGTGTGGGAAGAGGGGCGGCCGCGGTGAGAGCCCACGGCAGGTCCCTCCCGGGGGTGCCGGGGGGCCTGGCAGACAGCTGGCAGGACCGTCTCAGGCACCTCATGTTCCCCCTCGGCTTGCCTGTTGCCACTTGGGATACAGTTCGGTCATTATGGTGCTGCGTGGTAACATGGGAGCGTTTGAGCCAACAGAAATACACAGCCGAGGGCAGCTGAAGTCCACGGGAAGGACCGTGATCGGGCCTGCCTTGCACTTGCTTCTGGATGGGAGGGCAGGCGGAGAGCATGGGTCACCTGGAAGGCTGGCTATCATCATGCAGATCCACGCCCGGCCAGCCCCACGCTACGTCCACCAGCCCTGTCAAGGCTCCCACGTGCCCGGGGGCTTGGGCCACGGAGGCCCCTGGACCTGAGACATCCACGTTCCAGACAGCAGTGGTTGGGGTGCGGTGGCCGGGCGTGAGGGACCTGGGCTGAGAGGGTGGCACGGCTCTCTGGGGCTTTTGTGGATGCACTTCCAGATTCAGGGGACAGACCAGGGATTGACCGCTTCGCGGTGCCAGACAGTAGTGAAATGGACTCCTGAGTGAAAGTCTGCATTCGTGCACATAGGCAGGGTGGCCTCATTCGTGACGCCGCAGGCTGCAGACACCTGGTGCCACTGGCAGGGAGATGCACAGGCTGGGGCTGCAGACCATGCAAGGTCACAGTGCAGTCAGGCAGGGCCACCAGGCAGATGCCATGGGACTGGGCTTCCAAAGCTCTAGGAAAGGAAGATGGACCTGGTGTCAGAAGGTGGAGAGTTGCTGCGGGGCCTGGAGTTGGGGTGACTGGGGGGACAATGGCAAGTCTGTTACCTTGATCGCGGCGGTGGCTTCAGTGGAGTCATCGCGCCATGCACCCAGCCAGTGCCTCTTCTGAATTGCGTGTGAAGTTTACCTCAGTGAAGCCGATTTGAAATTCGATTCTTGTATTTCATGCCCTAGCAATGGAGTCAGCAGGTCTGGCACGGAACCAGGGGCGGCTGATGTGCCAGTGTTGGATCTGGCTTTTGGGGGTCCCAGTTTTTCTGGCTCCCATGGTGAAGCCATGTGCCGGACCCAGGATGGCAGGGGTGAGGGTAGAGCCCGGTCTCCTGGAGCTTTGGGGTGCAGAGCGCCTACGGGGTGCCAGGCTGGGTACCAGGTGAAGGGCAGCAGCTTAGGTCTGATTGAAGCCGTTATCAGTAGTGCCGCAAAGAAGCCGGCCCCGGGCCTGGTCTGGCCGGCGTGTTTCACACTCTGCCTCTCGGAGAGGCCCCGCCCGTGAGGGCCCCACGAAGGGCGCGTGGACTTGGGTCTCACTGCTGTTCCTACTGCTACTCACCGTGTGACCCTGCACATGTCACTTGACCTCTCTGTCAACTGGGACAATAGCAATGTCCTCTCGCGGTGGGGGTGGGTGGGGGGGGGATGGGAGTTAGTGTGTGGGGGGTTTGCAGCGGCCCCAGAACACAGTCCCACACCTGATAAGTGGCCTTGCTGTCCCTGTTGGGTTTTCTTCCCTTTGTGTTCAGAGAGTATCAGTGACACTAACTCACAAGAGCAATGAATTCATTTCCTCACGCTGTGTAACAGATGACCCCAACACATAGTGGCAACACTACACCTCCATTACGCTCAGCTTCTCGGGGTCACCACTTTAAACACAGCTGGCCAGGTGGGTCCGTGTCACTTACGGCTTGCGGGCATCTAAAGGCTTGACTGGGCCTGGAGGGTCAGCTGCCACGGGGGCTCCCTCGTCTGGCACGAGATCTCGGCTCCTTCCACGTCAGGGACCCCCTGCTCGAGTGTCCTACCGTGGCAGCTGGCTTCCCCCAGGGCCAGCTATGCGAGGGACCCTTTTATGACAGCCTGGGAAGTCACGCCACACTGTTTCTGGCGCAGGAACACTGGGCAGTGGGCAGCCGGCCCCGGGTGCCCCCGGGGTGCTCAGCTTGCGTGGTGCAGCCGGACTGGCCCTGGGGGCTGAGGGAACCTGTGCCGCCGCCCCAGGGCCAGCTCCACCCCCACCCCAATGCACCAGGTCTGCAGGGCTCACTGCAGGGAGGCCCTGCGATGGCGCGTGCCAGCTCTGAACTTGCCAGGGGTTGGATCCCGGCTCCCCAGGATTCTCTCCTCACAAGGGGAGTTCTCAGGCAGCCCCCTGAGCAGACCCAGCCACAGAATGTGAGCGCTGGCCTCCCCTTTGGAACTAAGACATTCATGTTGAAGAAAAGGGAGAAAAATTCATTACGTTCTTGGGGGAATCACCGTATTTGTGTTAGAAACCAAAACAAAAGCCTTTTAGCTTAGAAGACTTCATGTGCAGCTTTGATCTTTTAAATGCGATGCTCTAAAAATTACCCATAATGCCCTCCCCTAGAGATAATCACTATTAATGATATTTGGGTGTATTTCTTCTAGTCTTTTCTTCTCTTATATGTGTGGGCCTGTGTGTGTTGTGTGTGTGGTGTGGTGTGTACGTGTATGCACGTGTGTGTTGTGAGCGTGCATGACACAGGTATGAATGGCGTGTGTGTCGGGCCACCTGTGTGCCCTGTATGTTACTTGCAGAGGAAAGCTCCTTGTCCTCAGGCACTGCAGTCTGGGGCTCTGGTGCGAGGACCCGGGCTTTTCCTCCCTCTGCCTGCAGCCTGGGCCCTGGGCCCCTGGCACTCCCCTGACCGCTGACACTGTCCCTTCCAGGACGGCTGTTCTCCGTGAAGGACCTTGTACTCGCTACTGAGTAGCGACCATGGGCCTGCTCGCCTGGCTGAAGACCCAGTTCGTCGTGCACGTCCTCATCGGGTTCGTCTTTGTGGTGAGCGGGCTGATCATCAACTTTGTCCAGCTGTGCACTCTCGTCCTCTGGCCCGTGAACAAGCAGCTCTACCGCCGGCTGAACTGTCGCCTCGCCTACTCGCTCTGGAGCCGTGAGTACCGCCAGTGCCCTGCCCTGTGGGGGAGGGGGCGCTTATGCCGGTGGGGGGGGGCAAACAAGTGGGGAGACGCTCAACCCAAAGCACGTCACTAGGCTGAACCACATGACACTCCCACACTTATCCGTTTGGACCCACAGAGGTGGCAGTGTCACGCGGTTTAACGCAGTGCTTGGGACATTTGGAAACATCGTCATGAACTCAGGCTGCCATTACCAGCCTGACTAGCTGCCAGGATGTGGCCAGTCCTGATTCACTGTCCCCTAGCCACGCACACTGCAGGACTGCGAGGCACCCCTCACGTGGCCTGTCACTCCACTCGTAAATATTTTGGTGTCTCTCTCTGACAGAAAAGGACTCTTACCTGTCTAATTAGACATGTGTAGACGTGTGTGTCTACTTTACGTGCTGTGTCTGTGTGTGTGTTTGTACGTGTGACATCATCTCCACCTGTCAGGTGGACGCACCGAGAATTGACACAACGCCCCGCTGACAGCGGTGAGCTCTCGCGCCGTGTTTGGGGGACGGGGCTCGTCTCGGAGGGCAGTGTGCCAGAAGCCAGCAGCAACTCCCACGGTTGTATTTGTTGACCCAATTGTCCCACAAAACGGGAATGTAACCCAGAGAGACACCTGCAGAAGCACAGTCACGCAGATGTTCTCATTGCCCCGTTTTCACGTGAGCACCACCTGCAGCGGCCGACGTGCCCGTGAATGCACACTGACCACGCCGTGTCCGCCCAGCACAGCCCCACGCGCCAGCGAGGAGACAAGACGGTCTCTCTCTCTGCTGACAGAGACCCAGCTTCCAAACACACTTACGTGAAAAAGGAAGGTGTACAACACAGCACCTGGTGTGGTGCCGTTGGCTTAGTTTTAGACACGTATGTGCGATGTGCCTGCACGTGTTTGTAGGGGTACATGCACAGAAAACGCTGAGAGGGCGAACAGGGCAGAGAACTGTCCCGGGGGTGGAGGAAGGAAGGACGTTCACTTTTTTACTACTTACTGTCGAGCTGCTTACTTTTTAGCAAGAACATGTTTGTTTTATAAGAAAGAGAAAATAAACACATTTTATGTCACGCGGGAAATAGTGTGTCCCAGGTCACAAGCTGGTAAGAGAATGGCGCTGAAGAGGTTGTTGGTGTCCATATATTACATGTTATGTTATATTATGTTACATTATATCACATTACATCACAGTATATCATATATATAACACATAAGCCTGTATGCACGTGACTTTCTGCTGCCTCTAAAGAGACCAGCAGCCTGACCCTTAGCTTTAGCGTGCCTTAAATGCGAAATAGCTTCAGTTCCCAGGGTGGTTGGGTTTTTTTTCCTAAATAAAAGGCTACATTGTGTGTGTGTGTGTGTGTGTGTGTGTGTGTGTGTGTGTGTGTGTGAAGTGAGAATTAGAAATCCTATAACATAAAACATACAAATGAGTTATATGTGAGTATAACTGGGCAAGATGAATGCATACCAAAAGGGCACATGCTAATTAATAAAACCTAAATTATAGACTCCACTTCCAGCAGAAGTTAAAACACTACAAAACAGCTAAACCCTGGATAAAGCCCACTTTAAATGCACTGCTGGGTTCCCAGTAAGTAAAGGAAATCTCTTAGCTCCCCATCCCTGTGAGCAAAAGCGGGGGCTGAAGTGGGAGGTCGGTGTTGCTTTTCAGAAACCCCCCGCTTGGCCAGCTGTAAGAGAGGGAACTGAATGTAAACAGGACCCCCGAGAAATGGGCGGAGTGGAGCTGGTCAGCAGTGCCTGTGGGCTCAGCACAAACAGAAATACACTTGGGAGAGTATCTAAAATAGATTTAGACAAATCAAATAGGAACTCAGAGAACCACAAACATGCAAGAATAGATGTAGACAAAAGACCACCCAAAGGGGCCAGATTTGACAAAGAACCAAATGGAACTTCTATAAGTAAAAATTGTAATTGTAGGACTTGTTTAAAAATAAAATCTTAGTGAATGAATGTTACATCAGATTAAACAGCCAGTGAGAGAATGGGTAAACTGGACATAACATAAACCTGAAGAAATCACCCAGAGCGCGGCAGAGTGACAAGGCAAAAATATACGACACAGGAGTTAAAAGATGCACAGAGAGGAGGAGAAGTCCTGTGACCAGGCTTGGACTCCTGTCCTGGGAGAGAGGCTAAGGAGAAGCAGCTATGGACGCGATGACGGCTGGGGAGTCCCCCAAGCTGCTGAAAAACGTGATTCTGTAGCCCTGGAAGGAGGGTGAGTCAACAGAGACCCACGTTTAGACTCGTCACCATGAAATCACAAACCATCAGAGCCGACAAGACAATTCTCAAAATACCCGGAGAGCAGAGCTAGAGCCCACAAATGCTGACGGACTGACGGTGGTCATCGGAGCCAGAGATGGGGTCCCTTCAGCCTCTCAGGGGGCAGTGACCATCAGCCCAGGACTCCAGACCCAGCAAAGTAACCTGTCCAACGAGAGCGAGATAGAAACAGCCTGAGGTAAACAAAAAGCAAGAGCAGTCAGGGAGTTCTTCAGTAAGAACAAAGCGTGTCCTGTCACACAGGCAGGTTCTGAGATTCACGAAAGAATGGCAGCAAGAGGGACTGGTAAGCAGGTAAATTAAACAGTCGTAGAAAATAATTGTAATGCCCAGTTTGTGAGGCTGAGAACAGACGGGACTGGCCCCGGGGTGGCCTGGTGGCAGGAATGGGGTGACCCATGCCTGGACTGTCGTTCTCAGATTTGTTAGAATGGACATCTCAGCGTGAGACGCATTGACTGAGTGTAAACAGAAAACAGAGAGAGCGGACATGACCCCCAACTGTTAGAAAGATGCATTAAAGACGCAAAGACCAATTCATTTTTTTTTAAATGCAAGAAAGAAAAAAGCATGTGCATAAGAAAAGTAAATAAGTAAAAGTAACTAAATAGAAAAAACGCGAAGTCGAAGTTGAAATGAACACAGCGTCCCCCAATATTTGGAAGGGACCAGACACTCCTGGAAAGCACCAGCCTGCTCCTGTCGCCTGAACCCGCATGCCTGTGGGACTCCCCCCAGGTGACCTGTTGAATGTGGGGACATCCTCCACTTAAGTTTATTTCTTCAATACATGAGCGGGAGTCCTTCTCAAATCCGAGCTAAGTGGGAGCCTCTCCCCACTTCCGCGGGCATACAGTGAGAGCTGGAGTATGTTACTGTATCAGTAACCCTTCAGCTCTGCACACATCCCTCTCATTCTGACACCTGGCCTTCTCGCCGCCCACCCTGTGCCCGTTCCCGTGCGGCCATGTCATCTGGCCATGGGGTGGCCAGGCTAACGACACAGGTGTGGAACCAGACGGCCTGGCTCCCTGCTGGCCTGGGCCCAGGCTTTACCCCTTCTCGTCTGTAAAACACAGATACAGCCACCCACCTCCCTGCTGTAGTATCAAGATGAAATGAATGCACAGAGTATGTGTACAGCAAGGCTCAATAACTGATTACTATTATTAGGCCAATTCTGAGTTTTTTTAAATCGGTGGATGAAATGTGCAGAAAACGGCCAGCTCATTGTGTGCAAGGGCAAGCATCTCTCTGAATGAAGGAAATCGCAGAGAGAAATTCACGTGGGCCCGCGAGCCAACCAGCAAAACTCCTGATTCAGAATATCCCCCGTATTGATGGCCAGGAGACTGCGGCCGTGAGGCCTGGTGGCTGTCGGTGACCACCCGGGGGGACCCATGTGTCTCGCAGTCAGCAGAACGGGCCACCCCACAGCTGCCGCAGGACGCAGTGGCCTTGTTCTCCTTAGAACATCTGCGGGGCGTTGACCCGTGTCTGTCTGTCTGTCTGTCTGCAGCCCCTTCCTCCTGGCAGGCTCCCCCTGGGCCAGACTCAGGCTTGATCAGAATGGTGGAGGTCTCGAGCGCTGGCTCAAGTAAGCAAGCTGGAGGACAGGAAGCTGCTTGTGGGAACGCCATCCGCGTGTCCCACCTGCAGCCACAGACGACGCTTCCCTCCGTGAAGGCCCCTGCGTCCTGGCTGCTGGCCTGGGCTTCTGTCCAGTGATGACGACAACCCGAAGAGGCTTTAACTGTAGCAGCACAGCACGGGCTTCCCGACGCCGTGAGCACCTTGGAATAAAGTGCGCGGTCTGAACGCAGTCCTGTGTCCGCCTGGCGGGGTGCTGCTGGGGTGTCTGCTGTGTCCTGTACACCTGTTAGCGATCAGCATCAAGGGCCCGGCGTGGCCTTGTGGGGGGCACGCCTAGCGCAGCAGGCACCTGTTCTGAGCCTGTCTTGGAACATGGCCGCAGGTGACCTCTGGGAGGCAGTCATGGAAGCCAGGGTCCTTTGCACCTGGCCGTAGTGCCAGCGTGAGGAAGGTGTGGGTCAGCAAGCCCAAGCTCGCACCATCCCTGCCTCCACCCGGGGTTTCCGTGTGTCCGCCTCCACCGGGCCAGCCAAAGCCAGCACTGACTGAGCGTTTCGTCTGCGTCAGAGCAACTCCTGAGAGCATCGGTCTGGCCTGGGCACCCCCAGCCCTCCCTGCCGTGGGGTAGCGACCGCCCCTCTGACGGGCGGAGGTCACACAGCTGATTAGGGCCGTCCTGGGGGTCAGGGCAGCGTGCTGGTGTCAGAGTCCAGGCTCCTGTCCAGTGTGCTACACGCACCGCCCTGCGACTGTTGTATCAGTGAGAAGGCGTTCAGAACCGACCCAGCCAGGAGGCAGCAACGACATCAGTGTCCACCAACGGGCAAGTGGGTGAGCAGACGCGGTGTGTCCACATGGTGGCTGTCGTCCAGCCTTAGGTGAGCAGGAGAGCCTGCCACACGCAGCAGCGTCGGTGACCATGGAGGACATCGTGCCAAGGAAAGCAAGCTGGCCGCAGGACAGCACTGTAGGGCCCCACTCGCCTGAGGCCCTGAAATGGTCACACTCAAGGCAGCATAGAGGAGTCAGGACTGGGCTGATGTGTCGGTTATCCATGTGCGTAAGTCCTCGACGCTGCGCCTGCCGCTGACCCTGAGGTGCCCGACCCCCACGCAAAGGGGAATCCTGTGTAACTGGAAGCAGCGCCCCCACATACAGATCCCCAGCATCAGTCAAAACACTGTTGACCCTGAGCAACACGGCTTGGAACTACGTGGGTCCACTTAAATGCATTTTTTTATGTCTACATGTTCATGGAATTGTACAGCCATCTCCACCATCTAATTTTAGAGCATTTTTAGCTCCAAAGAAACAGTGTACCATTGACTACTCACCCATCCCTCCCTCTCCCAGCCCCTGGCACTTGGTCTACTTCCTGTCTCTATGGATTGGCCATGTCTGTACATTTCATGCACATGGATTCCTGCCGGGCACGGTCCCTATGAGTGACTTCTTCCACCCAGTGATGGTTCTAAGGCTGGTCTACATTGTAGCAGGTGTCAGAGCCACATTCCTGCTACAGCTGAATAATAGCACACCACATGGATACACAGTGTTATCCACTCTGTCATCAGCGGATGGACAGTTGGATTTTTCCACTTTGGGCTGTGTGAACAATGCTGCTGTGAACATTCGTGCGCAAGTTTTGGGGTGGACATCTGTTTTCATCTCTCTTGGGCATATACCTAGTAGTGGCAGTGCCGGGTCATCTGGTAGCTCTCTCTCTGGAGCTGTTTTCCAAAGTGGCTGCCCCGTTTGACACCCCCGACAGCAGCGTGTGGGGTCCCTGCTGCACCTGTCTTGCCGACGCCTGCCGTTGTCCGTCTGTTGACGGTAGCATCCTGGTGGGTGGGAAGGTACCTCACCGTGGTTTTGGTTTGCGTTTCCCTGTTGGCTGATGACACTGAGCATCTTTTCATGTGCTTGTCGGCTTTGGAGAACGTCTGCTCAGATCCGTCTGTTTTCCTGTCCCTGCACTGTTAAGTCAGTGCACGTGAATGTTGGGTGGATGCGGACAGGCTTACAGGCTCATTGTAAGTGCTGAGTTTGCCTCTGACGAGTGGCCTTTCTCTTGACCCGGCCTGCGTCCCCTTGGGGCCCTCTCTGGTCCCTCGATGCTATGGTCAACCGACCCCTTTGTGGCTTCTCTGACTGCCCGTCAGGTAGGAAGGACTGTAACACATGACCGTTCAGGCGTTGTCTGAGACGGACCATCTGTCCGGGTCCCACTTGGTGTAGATGACACCCCAGAGGCCGTGTTCTCAGCTGTTAATGTCACGTGCTGTACCCCATTTAGTCTTCCCAGCAGCCCTGTGAGGAAGCTGCAGTTATCTCCTTTCTGTAAAGGGGGAACCTGACGCTCGGAGTCCAGTCTCTAAGCTCTGGGCTGTGCTGCCCATCAGCGTTTCCTGGCACCCACCCCCAAGGGTTCCCCCTTGGAAAATGGATGGGATGGGGTCCAGCACACAAACAGTGGGGCAGTGCCCTGTCACCCCTGAGCCTGAGCACTGCTTCCTGGTCTGTGAGGTCACCCTTCTCAGGACACCTGCCGTGGTGGGCATGACACCGGTTGACCATGGGGGCCCAGTGCTCTCTTGTGTGCCCGAACCCACCCTTCACCCCCACTCCATGGATGAAATGTGTGGTATTCCATCAAACCATAGCACATGTGACAATCGTGACTGGACATAATGATAAAGATATTAATAGCTGTCTAAAATGCTGGCTTTCCTCCATTTCCTCTGCCACTTTTTTGTCTTCCTGAAAGTTTTATTTGCCTTTTCCCTTGACTTTTTTTTTTTTTTTTAGTTTCAGGTGTGCAGAACAATGTAATAGTTAGACATTTCACCCCTCACAAAGTGATAACCCCCTCCCCCAATCTGTGCCCCTCTGACATGTACATAGCTGTTACAATTCCATTGACTCTATTCCCTATGCTGTACTTTACATCCTGTGACTATATATATATATTAAATTATAGTTGACATTCAATATTATTCAGCTTCAGGTGGACAGCGCAGTGGTGGGGGATCTACACCATCCATGAAGTGGTCTTCCTAACATTTATTTTGACATCCTGCAAAATAAATTAGGAAAACTTACTTTATTTAATATAAACCAGCAAAAGTCATTTCTAGCAACAAAACCCAGTCTACCCAGTTTCCCTGAAAATAAGACCAGGTCTTATATTAATTTTTGCTCCAACAATCTACATGTATTCATTCCTTCATGTCCAAAAATCTACATTTATTCAAACAGTCATGTCTGGCTGATGATCTTAACTGGGGCTTATGTTTGGGGTAGGGCTTATATTACGAGCATCCTGAAAAATCATGCTAGGGCTTATTTTCCAGTTAGGTCTTATTTTCGGGGAAACATGGTAGGTGACAGTACTGGACGAGTCCCGCCTGCGTCAGAGCTGGGGCCTGGCCTGTGCTTCCTGGGGAGGGAAGGCCGGGCTGGGCCTACGCCGCCGACACCCCCCTTGTGCCCGCAGAGCTGGTCATGTTGCTGGAGTGGTGGTCCTGCACCGATTGCACCCTCTTCACCGACCAGGCCACGATGGAGCGCTTCGGGAAGGAGCATGTGGTCATCATCCTCAATCACAACTTCGAGATTGACTTCCTCTGCGGGTGGACCATGTGCGAGCGGTTTGGTGTGCTGGGGGTGAGTGACGGGGGGTCCCGGGGGGATGTGGGGGTGAGTGACGGGCCCTGGGGGGATGTGAGGGTGAGTGACGGGGGGCCCCGGGGGGATGTGGGGGTGAGAGACGTGGGGTCCCGGGAAGGTGCTGGCGTGGCTCCTTGGAGTTTTAGCCCCTGGTCCGCTGAGCTAGGAGTCTGCATGCATGGCTGACAAGGGTGCCTCGGATGGTCGGCTGCCTTCAGCTGCCTCGGGCCTCTTCTGAGATGGGGCAGTTCCTACTTTTCCGCTCCTAGCCCTTACTTGTTACCTTGTGAGTCCCTGAAGCTCCCTGGGTGAGTGAGGTGCCCGGAATGTCACCACCCTGAGCCAGGCTGAGGAGTGACTATCCGTAGATGGCGGCCAGTCAGATGGCTGCCTCCTGGGCGCCTGCCCTCCCACCAGGCTGCGCCTCGGTTTCCCCCTCCATCAGATGGACACGTGCCTGGACTCTCGGGGTCAAGCTGATCCCCAGGCGCCACACTCAGTGTCAGGGTGTCCCCATTGACAGCGAAGGCCCCAGACAGCACGGCAGTCCCGGGGGGGCCCAAGGGGACCTGGCGGCCTGGTGCGCTATCTGCTGCCCCTCCCCCCAGAGCTCCAAGGTGCTGGCCAAGCGGGAGCTGCTGTTTGTGCCCCTCATCGGCTGGACGTGGTACTTCCTGGAAATCGTGTTCTGCAAGCGCAAGTGGGAGGAAGACCGGGACACCGTGATCGAGGGGCTGCGGCGCCTGGCCGACTACCCCGAGTACATGTGGGTGAGTCGCTGCACGCCTGCCGCAGGCACGCAGCCGCGCACGCCCGGGAGACCTCCGCCCCGCTCAGATGCGTGAACGCCACCGGGTCGCGAGTGGGCAGGCCGGCAGCGGGTCCCGCCCTCGGGGCTGTGGCTCGGGGCCACCTGTCTCCACATTCGGGGTGCCGGGAGGGAAGGAGGTGGGTGCCTCCCTGCTCAGGTGAGTGTGGGTGCCCCACCAGTGCCCAGGCTGAGCCCCCTCTGCAGGGAGGGACTTCCTTAGAGGAGGGTTTCAGGGCAAACCAGTGACCTGTAGGTCTGGGCGAGTCTGCCAGGCCGTCAGTCAGGGCAGAAGCACAGGACATTTGACCCCCACCTGTAATGGCAGCAGGACCTGGCGGCTTGGCGGGTTTTCAGGCCCCTCAGGTGGGTTTGATGGACTGCAGCCACGATGATCAGGGCCAGTCGGTTTGAATCTCCTGCCTCTCTCTCTCCTCCTTCCTTCTGGAGGGTGACAGTCCTTTGAGAGCTGGCTCCTGATTTAGCGTGTCCACCTCTCATGTATTGTTCACTCAGCGGCCAGAAGGCTTCTGCCCAGGGACCTTCGTGGTGCCTCCCTTCTGGAAAGTTCTCTTTGGCATCCTTTGAGATCAGTGTGATGCTGTTAGCTATTTGGTGAGGGAATTTGTGTGGTAGAGTGCGGGTCGCAGCCCGAAAGTAAAATATTGAGTTGTCGGGAAAGTAAGCCATGACGCATTTTTGCAACGAAAAACATAGAAAAAATACGTCATGACTTTTCTGACAACCCAATAATGTTTCAAACCCTGCCATGTGCTTGTCATTAGAGCACTGATGTCATTTCTACAAATGGGGCAGCAAACATTTTGCTGCCAGTCAAGGCCACACGTGAGGGAGACGGCCGAGCCCATTAGGTGCGAGTTCCTACCTGGGCTAAGCGGCGTCCCCGTGTCTGTGTCCCAGTTTCTCCTGTACTGTGAGGGCACCCGCTTCACAGAGAAGAAGCACCGCGTCAGCATGGAGGTGGCGGTCTCCAAGGGGCTGCCCGTCCTCAAGTACCACCTGCTGCCCCGCACCAGGGGCTTCACCACCGCAGTCCAGTGCCTGCGCGGGACAGGTAAGGGCCCACGTCACTGCTGAGCGGGACACCACCATCCCCGGGGCCCCGCATGAGGCCAGAAATGAAAAGGGTCAAACCTACACGAGCGAGTCGCATGTAAGATACGGGACAGGAAAGGGAGACCCCAGTGAGCGGAGTGAACATGTTGTAAGACTCTTGTGTCATTTTCGAGGTGATAAAATGCGAGTTAATGGAAATGCCGAAATAATTTTAAAAGTATATAACTGAAGATCTTATAAAGGAAAAACGATGTGGCTGATGAACCCGAAAGGAGGCAGGATAAAAGACAGGGGCAGAGGACAGTTAGGACACGTAATTAGGAGGCGGCCAGAGGGCGGACTGAAAGGCACACTCGTCAGGAAGCACAGTGGATGCAATCAGCTACATGCCCAACTTAAAGACGAGAACCCAAAGCAAAGGTGACCCATGTGACAAGCCCCTGGTCTCGCGTGGGCGAGGCTGGCAGCCCGGCTCACCCCTCCATCCTCACAGTCGCAGCCGTCTACGATGTCACGCTGAACTTCCGGAGGAACAAGAACCCGTCTTTGCTGGGGATCCTCTATGGAAAGAAGTATGAGGCGGACATGTGTGTGAGGTGAGCGCGGAGCCCGGGGGGCCTTGTCCTGCCGCTGCCCCCTCCCGTGTCCCAGCCCTGACACCTGGCCCCGCCCACCTCCCGGGCTGTCCCCACGTGGAGGCACCCAAAGTCCCTCCACCCAGGATGGGCAGACACGGGGACAGACGCAGGAACCACTGGCCATCGGACAAAATGAATGAGTGGCTGTGAGGTGAAGGCCGGAAGTTGCAAATGATCTGGGGAGGAGTGACCCCTCCCCCGGAGGGAGCACAGAGGCTTTCGAAAGAGGCTGAGCTAAAACTTGCTCAGTGACGGATTTCCACAGGGCGAAGGACAGCTGCCTTGGCCTGAGGGGCTCCGTGGTCCCTTTTTCAGGGTGCAGGACAAGTTAGGTCTGTGGCTCGCAGGCCGCCAGGAGAGAAGGGAGCGTCAGGGCTGCGGCTGACGTCGGTGGCGCTCAGGCTCTGGCTCCCAGTGACCCTGGGGCTGAGCCCAGCAGGCTCCCCCGTAACTGGCCGTAGGCTCGTATGTTCAGGGACGTCCCACTGGTGGGACATGGGAGCTGGTTAATGCAGAGCTGCCCGGTGGCCTTAGGGACCCTGAGCACCCAAGTAGGGAAACTCAGTCAGAGGTGGGGCCCTACGGAGCCCTTAAAATGTCCTTGGATTATCAGAAACGGTTCCTATTGACTGTGCAGTGAGCGTGGATTGAGTGCTTGCTGTATGCAAAGCGGGAGGCTGGAGACGGATGGGGGCAGGTGAAGGAACCAGCGCCAGGTTTCTGAGGGGCAGTGGCTGGTGGACACAGATGTGCTCAGTGCCGTGGCCGCAGGAAGGCGTTGCAGGAAGGAAGGCCGGGGCGCACCCTCCCCGTCACCTCCGTGGGAGCTCGAGCCGTCCCCTCCCAGGCCTTGCTGAAGTCTGACAGGTTGTGGGGTTCCCTGGGGACTACAGTCACGTGGCTGACCTTTCCCCCAAGGGTAGAACCCAGATCTGTTCAGAGGCCGCAGTGCAGGCTCTCCCACAGAACCTTCAGGCCTGAAGCTGCACTGACGTGACTTTTGCTGGCACTGGTGATTTGAGCCCCAGAATTTGAGGGATCTGTGTCTGAAACGAAGGGGGTCAGCAGGAGGAGGGTCCGTTTTAGGTTCCATCCTGAGTGTTCCCGGCACCAGTGAGACAAGACAGGAGTGAGGTGTCCAGGTGTCCACTGCAGAGCCCCACGCTTTGTTCTGGGATGCAGGCGTGACCTCCCACAGAGAGCAGCCCTCATTTCTGTAACACAGGGTCAAGTCCAGTCACACCCAGATGGTGGCCGCATTTCTCACTGCCACGCTTTGTCTCCAGGCTTCTCTGGCTCGTGAACATAATCCCCCCTGCAAAATATTTTTAACTGAAAGCCACCTTGGAACCCCTCTATTAGTAAAATGGTGTTGAGACGCTGCTTCCCGCTCAAGGCAGAGCCCAGGCCGCTCAGGCCGTCCCCTGTCTGGCTCCTCCTGGTTGAACTTGCAGTCTCCCCCGTCGTTCCAGTTGCCCAGAGAGACAAGCCCTTCCATCTCTGTGGTGGCGCCTGTGTCTGCCATCCGACCTCCGCCGGCTTGGTGTCCATCCTGGTCAGTGGGACCTGCGAAGGCTCTGACAGGCCCACTCCACTCCAGTCTTGAGAGCTTCAGCTTGTATGTTTTAAAACAATACCACCCAGCTCTGGCCACACGACAGGAAATCTCCAGGAATCGTTTTGTGAACATAAATAATAAGCTGGGTGGTTTTTCCCTTCTGAAGTTTGCGGTGGCCTGGCTCAGCGTAGTGTAGGGTCCCTTATTCCGTCCTGGGGGCCGAGGAAACACCTGGCGGGGGCGCCCCGGGGGCTGGGAGATCTCGGGGGCCCCGGATGCTCCTGTTCCCTGGCTGTGGCTCCGACTAGAACACGTAATGTGGTCCAGGACAGCGATGGCAGTGGTGAGCTATGTCAAGCCCTCACCCTCGCTGGTCTGTCATCTTCACACGACTTGGAGGCAGGTCCTGCTCTTGTCCTGTAGTGAGGGGTGGGCGGTGGTCACAGTCTCAGCTGCCCCGGTCAGAGGGGGCAGGTGGTGGGGCCGGGGTAGACCACTGGGCCCAGCTCAGGGTGCCCCAGCCACCCCACCAGGCTGCACGGCGCCTCCGCGGGGACTCCGGCCCCAGCTGCAGAGGACTTGAGCTTTCAGCAGTTCATTCCCTCTTTGCTGCAGGAAACACGGGCGATGCTTTACCTAATCTTATGTGAATAGATATATTCTTAGAACTTTTAAAAAGCTTCAGCTTCCTGTTTGGTGTCACTTCCTGTTTGGGTTTAGAGTAAAAGCAATATTCCGATGGGTCTAAAACATACTTGTCATCCAACACACCAAGGCTCTCACAGCCCTGGGGTCTTGTCTCAGTCCCTATCCTCTGTGGGCAAAGTGTCCAGGGGCCTGTGACCAGGCAAGGCCAAGGGCTTTGGTGACGTGGTGATGGTGGCCGGAGGTTCATGCTGGCCAGTGACCCTAACATGGTTTGAGTCAAGTTCAGGAGATAGATGCTCATTTGTATTTATTTTTATCTCATTTTAAATCCTTATTATTGGGTTGTTGGAAAAGTCATGACGCATTTTTATAACAAAAAACATAGAAAAAATACGTCATGGGTTTTCCAACAACCCAATATATATATTTCATGGTGTAACAGACACACAGAACTTGTATGTGACATGTGCACATGTGAAGTCAGGGCGGACAGCCGAGTGGGTGTGAAGCCGTTAGGCGGTCCCCTCTCCTAGACAGACCCCTTCCGAGCCTCGTCCCTCTGATGCCTGACGGCGTGTGTGTTTGTAGTCTGTTTTCATTTTGAATATGGCAAAGATTGATAGGCATAACCCTTACAAACCAAAGTTCTCAATTTTTAGAGCAAAAATTTCGAGATGCCTTAAAGCATGGAGGTTTACATCTGGCCTCTCACTGTGGGCCCCTCCGAGGTGGGGAGCCCTGCCCTGTGATGACCATGGTCCTGCTGGTCAGTTACTCTAGCTCAGGCGCGTGCTTTGTGCCCTCTGCTGGCCAACGTCAGGTACTACAGTTGCCGTGAGAGCGGTTCTCCGGCCAATCTTACTTACCAGGCCGACCCTCCACTGGTGGGGCTGGTAACCCAGCTGGTGATCAGGTTTACAAATAAGTTAGTGTCTTAACTGGTCAGCTGTTTGTTAGCTGAGATTAAAGTTCTAAATCTCTATCGCTTTTCATATTTGAAACAAGTAGATGTCATTTGTGAAATACATAATTTTCTTTGCCTAACTAAAGATACCCTGAGTTGTGCTTACTTCCAAAGAACGAACTATTAAAAGAGACCAAAGCTCCTGCTGAAGCTAATAAGTGATCACCCCTCATGGTGGAGAGGGAGCGTGATCGGCCCATTGCACTGCCCGTGGGCACCCCCCCCCCGCAAGCTGCACCTCCGGCCCCCCTCCGCCCCCCGCAGCTCCCTGCAGGCCCACAGCCCCCGGCCACCCCCACGGCGTCCCGGGAGAATGCCCGAACGTTACTTTGATGTCTGTGCGCTTTTGGAAGTTGAGTGAGGTTGGCCAGCAGAAGCAAGCCAGCAAGCAGCCATGATGCTCAGGTTCTCCCCGTTTTCGGTTTGATGGCATCGAGTTATTGACTTTGCTTTCAACCTTCTTTGTAAAACAGGAGATTTCCTCTGGAAGAGATCCCGCTGGATGAGAAGGGAGCAGCTCAATGGCTTCATAAACTGTACCAGGAGAAGGTAAAGGCACACAGCTTTCCCTCTAGGGGGCCGGGGGAGCCGGAAGAAGGCTGAGGGGCAGCTGATGGGGAAGGCAGCTGCCACGGGGACGTCCTCAGGAATCAGAAGTGCTGTGCAGGCATCAAGTACTTATGTCTAATCCTTTTTTTTCCCTTGTTCTTAGCTTTTGAGAAATCAACAAACTAGATAAAAGTATAAAGGGTAACATAATGCTTCTATAACCATGGCTGATTACATTGTATCACATTTGTTTCATTTTTTCATGTAAAAGAAAGTATAGATATATAATAGATGTATCTATATGTGTGTGTATGATTTAGTATATGAGACACAATACAGATGACATAAAAAGAGTCTTAAGCCCAAACCCAGCCCCACCTCTTTTCCCATAGTATAACTCACCCCTGACTCTTGCTTCTGGTTAATTTTATGTACACAAACATACAGGACACTAGATTTTTTTGTTTTCAGTGTTGTGGGAGGCTTAGTAATGAGAAAATCCTTCCAGTGCATAACAAATACCCTTTAAATGCACTGACAAACTCTCAAGAAAATAAGGGGAGCCTCTAGGGATCGGAAAAGGAAATGGGGCTGAAAACCCAGGGTAAGCCTGCGGGCTGCCACTGCTGCGCCCTCCTGGTAGAGTTTGCTGGTCCCCTTACCCCAAAGCCTTGAGTCTTAATGCCCACCTGGAGACAGAAGATAAGGGTTTGACCTCACCCAAGGCAGAAGTTAGAACTGAATACCCTACGTGAAGCTGGGACCCTCTGAGACTTCCACCCTCAGAAAGGTTAAAAACTGGAAAAGCGTTTGCCGGCCAGCACAGGGAAATGACTCGGAAGCTCCCTTCTCCTGGTCTCAGAAAGGCCCCCTGGTGATTCATAACCACAGGCGTGACCACATACAGGTTTGGGGTGTGCATTTATACAACAACAACACAGTTCAAAAAGACAAAAGACAAGCTATCAGCATAAAAAGTGGTTCCAGGCAACCCTCTCTGGAGTTCCTGAGAGCAGCGCGTGCAGAACTGGAAGAACATGGCTGCATGCCTAAGCTGCCCAAGGTTTCCTCAGGTAGGATCCTGCTGGAGACGAGCTCAGAGCCAGAAGCCACCACGGGCTCCGTGACAGGCACAGCAGGCAAGGACTAAACCGCCCGAAAGCCTCAGCTACTGGGACGATCAGGCAGACACTAACATCAGTGTGTTTGAAATGAGTAAGCACAAAAGAAGGAACTGAAAAGAGCAGAGCAAGACCTAGGAAAAAACGAGTCAGGTTTGAGAAAGGTCAGGCTGGATTTATGGGCATGAGAACTCTAGTCATTGACAGGAAAATCTTAGCAGATGAAACAGCACATGATCTACAGCTGAAGAGAGAATTAGTAAACTGGAAGCTTTAGAAGAAACTGCTCAGAATGCAGCACAGAGGAAAAACGTTAAAAGATACAGAGAACAGACTGAAGGTCCAATAGGTAACTATTAGCAGGTCCAGGAAGAGAAAGCAGAGAGATGGCGAAGAGCAGTTGTCAGAGGTGGTAACCATAAAACTAGAATTGGTGAACACGAATTTCATCAGGTTCAAGAAATTCAAGTCTGGGGTAGGATAAATAAAAAGAAACTTCCCCTACTTGGCAATGAAATTGCAGAACACCATAGACAAAGAGAAGATCTTAGAATAACCAAAGAGAAAGGACATACTGCCCACAAAGGGGTTGGTCACATCTCTTAATGTGGATTAGGATCTGTTATAAAGTCTTACACGTTTTATCCTGTTAATAATCATACACATACACACACTTACATGCACATAAATTATACATACATACATACACGTGTAATGCATGCACACAAAATAGAGTAAACCCAGAGAGAGTAGAACAAAGAAAAGAATAAAAATAGCGTAAATTAGTTTAACAGAAAGCAAAGCTATAAAAGAGTGAATCAACTGCACCAAAAGCTTTTCCTTTAAGAATATTACAAAATAGGGGCCGGCCGAATGGCTCAGTTGGTTAAGAGTGAGAGCTCTGAGCAACAGGGCTGCCAGTTCGATTCCCACATGGGCCAGTGATGCTTCGCCCGAGCTGAGCTGCTGCTGAGCTGCCAACAGGTGGCAGTATATGGCTCAGCTGGTGAGAGCACATGCTCCTAACAACAAGGTTGCAGGTTCTACTCCTGCATGGAATGGTGGGCTGCGCCCACTCGCAACTAAGATTGAACACGGTACCTTGAACTGAGCTGCTGCCAGAGTGGCTCAGGGGATAGAGCGTGTGCTCTTAACAAGGCTGCCGGTTTGACTCCCGCGTGGGATGGTGGCTACGCCCACCCGTAACTAATTGAACACAGCACGTTGAGCTGAGCGGCGCGACTGGACTTGGAGCTGAGCTAGCTGCACCCTCCACAACTAAGATTGAAGGACAACAACTTGGCTGTTCCCCTTCCCCAATTCCCCAACACTGTTC